AGGAAAGGTTCGATGCACTGGTGGCAGGAGCAAGCAACCAAACGTGGCGGCCTAGAGTGGCAACTTGGAGAAGTCTGACTTGTTGAAGGTGGGACCCAGGTAACACATTTGTGCGAGTTGGATCGGCTCCCAGGATTGTTGCAGTCCAGCAACTCAATCCTGCCTGCCAACACCAGTGTCACCCATAGCTATGGCTCGATCCGGGCAAGGTTTGGGTTCTGTTTCTATTTTCTTTTATTGGCCCCCACCCATGGCCATAGCCCACATTGGGCCACCTTTTCGCCAGGTATCACCGAGTCCTGTACTTGGCCTCCCATGGCCGATTGGGCTACGATCTCTTCTGCAGTGAGGTCTTCGAGGCTTCTCCGAAGGCCGGATCGCCACCGGGTTTATCGTGGAGCAGCCCTGGAGGATGTGGCGCGGGAGATCGAGGAAAAGTGACACTTTCTGATCTTGGTGCGGACTAGGTCTGTTGCGAATGACTGTACTGGGTGGTGATGTTGCAGGCCTTGTGGTCATGGTGTCTCATCATCGGCACACTTCTGGGCTACTGGATTGTTCTGGGCTCGGTGGTCTACGTGGCCAAGAAGGCACTTGGAGGGCCCCGAAACGGGTTCCTGCATGGGGGCGGCACCCAAGCCCATGTCATGGAAAGTCCAAGCAAAGAGGGCGCAAGGAGACTTGCAATGGCATCCATGAATGCATGAAGAGTAACTAAATGTCATGCCAGACAGCTCCTGGATCGTTCACAACTCTCCGATCTTTAATTCGTATTGCAGGCGTTTCCCTGAATCAAAAGCAAGCCAGCTGGTCATTGCAAGGCACAAGGCCGCATCACCTTCTGTTCGATCATCCAGATTGCCCTTGGGTTGATCTTCTTAGAGGCAAGAGGACCCTGCTTGGACTTGGACATCACGCTGCGGACCGCTAGGTCAACGGCTGAAGAAGTTGGTGCCGTCGTTTTGGTGTTGCGAGGGGCTGTGACTGACTGTGGGATACGTTTTTCTTCTCGCAGAAGTGGTTAGCCTACAGTACAGGATATGCAAATCACAGGATGCAGACATCACTCCAAGTCACCCCCGTTTGGCGGGACAACGCGTTTTTGTTTATAGTGTATATATATATTATATATATATATATATTAAAAAGAGTGTCATGCAAAGCAGGACTTCAACCAAATCAAAGCAGGACTTTGGAGTTGTGGCTTGGTGGCTCAAGAGAGCAGGAACCACACATTATTTATAAGCCAAACATGTTGCAAAAACAGACTACAATAATTATTGAATCATCCAATTAGGGTGTCACCCAAATATCTTTCATCACCCAATTCTTTCTAATTATTTTCTCCATTCTTTCACCCAATGGCAGCGCAGCAGCGGCTGGCAGTTTGGAGGACTTTTTCCCAAAACATGTGTCACTTGTCAGTCAGTGGGTCATGCCACCATAAGATCAAAAGCTGGGCAAATGAATCACAATGGTTCAACCTGGAGAATTGGTTTGATAGAAGGGCCTTTGGTCTATAAGTTAATAAGTGAGTTAGTCTCACCAGTCTTGCCCAAACGCAGCTATGCACTGTTGACAGAGCTACTGGGAAGCAGCAACAGCCTCACGAGCCATACGCCTTGCCAGCTCACGATTGCCTTCCTTGGAAAGGATTCGCCGATACTCCTTGCTATAGATCCGGTTTTTTTCAGTAGCCACCTCAGCAACAGAAGGAATGACATTGGTTGTATTGTTCTTGAAGACCCTATGTTTGAAGACACATATGAAAAAATCATAGTAATAGTTTAGCCACTGGATCTTTCTTCCTTGCTGGCCTTTTCATTACCTGTGCCTTTCCTTGATTCTTTGTGGCCTTTTGCTTTGGCTTCACATCCTTCCCTTTGCCCACTTTCTCTCTACCTCTACGTGGGGGGTTTGCTGGTGCCTTTGGGACAGCCTTGGGACGTGGTTTGGCTTTGGCAGTGCATTTGGCTGTTGGCGCAGGCTTGGGCTTTTGCTCAGCCACTTTGGTCTCCTACACAGGTTGAAATGTCAGATTGTTATAGCAAACCACAAGGTACTATATCCACAACTGTGTTGTACCACCATTTAAGCTTAAACTGCTTCTTGCAAAACATTCCTTGACGGAATTGGAACCCAACAGCCCCCAAAAAGGGTCTAGTGAAAGCTTTGAAGAAACCTGTCCTTCAATCTCGTGGGATCCATAGTTCTTCCCCCTTCCTCCTTGGAAGGCGAGGCCTGCAAGTCAAAGTGAACTTCAGGCATAAAACAACAACCTTTTTGTAGATTAAACAACATGAGAACAGAAAGAACACCCACTCAATCATTGACACCCAAAAAGCAAACACACTGTCCTTGGGTGATTGCCCCAAAACCAAGGTCGTGCCACCAAGAGAATCAATGTCTTCACCTTCTTCTTGGGTCCCTTTCTCCTGACTGTTGAACATGGTGCCCCTGGCCATGCGCTGCTGGAAAGTCAAAGCCCGCTGTACTTCATCACGCCCCTGAGAATCACTGGTGCTAGTGATGACCATGGCATCAAATGCTTTGCGCATGAGCTGCTCCTCCTCCTTGTCCATGATGTAGTGCATATGGCTTCCCATGCTGCCATGTTGCTGATCTTCTCTCTCCTTGGCATCCCTCTTGATGTCCTTCATTCCACTCCACTATTGGGTTGTTTGGAGAAATCATGACAATGACTGTGACCCATTACTTGGGGTGATAGGGTAACAACTGAGGTTATGAACATGAACATTTGAAGATGTCCTCCTCTTCACCACTTGAAGCCACTTCCACAGCAATGCGAGAATTGTGGCGAACCTACAGTGCTGAACTTGCAAACTCCAGTGCTTTGTATATCCACCCTGATGAAGGAGCCTTTGTATACTACCTTTTCTATGTGCGCAAGGGGGGCACCAAAAGAAGGACAAGCCACATTGACCCTTTGCTGCTTTTGCTGCCAGGTTGCAATAGCACTCTTGGACATAAGACTCATGCACTCCTTTACACGGTCAGGAAAAACACCAGGATCATTGGTCTTGTTGAAGCCCATGAAACCTGGGGAAGCATCATCCTCCTCATCCTCCTCATCACCATTCCCATTCTTTGACAGCAATTCATGCTTCCGCTTTCCTCCATGACGCTTCTTCTCTTTGTGTGTTTCCTTCTCTTCTCAATGGTCAACAGGAAACAAGGTAGCATCACCCAGATCAATTAAATTCTATTAAATAAACCTCTAGCAACAATTCTTTTGTATTTACTTGATTTCAATCAAGCAGGGTAAAACTTACTGAGGTCAGGAAAAGGGTCTCGGTCTTTAGTCTTCTTCTTTGTCTTGGACTCTGAGCCTTTGTGGTGCTTGGACTTCTTTGAACCTTCTGCTGCCTGTGCCTCTGGGTCATCAGGGTCACTGTCATCACCATCATCATCATCACCTGGTCTCATGTCATCAAACAAACCGCTATACTCATCCTTCTTTTTCTTTGCTGGTTTCTTCTTGGTTGCCACATTGTCGTCCTTCTTCTTTTGTTTTTTGTCTTCCTTTTTGGCCTTCTTCTCATTCTTTCCTTTCAAATCTTCCTTGCCTTTGTTAGCATCTTTGCCACCTTGTTCACACTCTTCACCAGTTTCACCTGACTTGTCTTCAGATGAACTTCCCATCTCACAGCGCTGGAGTTGCTTGGTAGGCCCGGTAGATGCATCTTAGCAGCTGGAAAAGGCACAATGGGCTCACTGGTTAAATGGTTAAAACCATGCACCTAGAAGCAACCAAAACAAAACAAGAATCAGCAGTCAGCAGTATTCTAAAATATTTGCCAAGTGTGGGCTAGCTACTCTTGGAAGGTGGTGCAGCGCTGGGCTTGGGAGTAGGAGCTTCCACAGCATTGATCAGGGATGAGTACTGGTTAAGGTCGAAGGCCGGTGTCACTATGGCACTACCCTTGTGGCTTGTTTGTACTCTGCCAGGTGTCTCCATGGCTCAGGGGCAATCCATTCACCTTGAACCCAACTCTATAGGCTCACACCTCTAATCCCTCTAATGCCTGAAAAAAGTTGAGGCATTGTAAAGCTTCAGTTTTGGATGTTCATAATGGGATACCCATCATTCCTGAATGTTTCACATCCTGCCATGAGATTTCTGGTCCACCCTGGGTGCTTTCACCCACGCTAATGAATTGGTTGCCTGGCACCCTGTGCACTGCTCTCAGTGCAATGCCAGCGAATACCATGAGCTAGGCAGCTAGGCCAAGCTAGGTAAAGCGTTGAAGCAACCCCCCAAATATGAGCCACAAGCAACTGGCTCCCCCAGGAAGAAAGCAGGTGGGACAGTGTTGGACATTGAAGTTGGTTCCATATACTTGACTGAACCTGGGGTTAGCTTTCCAAAATCAAAAATGAACCTGGAGCATCAGACCAGCTGGTACATTTCATCAGCCTGCCCCTCAAAGCTGTTCACAAGCAGTGCGACAGGACGAACTGGAATCAGATCCTTTGAGCCATTCTGATCCGCTTGAAGCCTGGCTGGTGATGAGTTTGGGTGGTTGTGCAGTGGTGGTCACATATTTGGATGGAAGATATGTTCAACACTATTTGGATGGAAGATATACCAGGCATTGCTTTACATAATATCCACACTATGTAGCAGTGACCATTGCCAACCTGTCTCTCCCATACGCTACACCACCGTTTAATACATGGCTAACCATTGTATTTTGCAAACATTCCATGAACATACCCTTGAACAATCAATGTTTCATCACTGGCACCTCAAACGCCAACATAGCTTCACATTCTCAGAAGTCCTGAGCTTGGGCAGGGATAGCTTGGCACCATAGGTCACAGCTGACGCACTTGCCTGCAGGAAGAGGGTAGCAAATCAGGGGCATTTGTTAGAACATTGACATGTTAGAACCTTTTTTTGTCAGGACTGACCCCTGTGCTCAATGCCATTGGCTACTCCAACTACAAACTTTTTTGAAACATGTTGAACACTTCTTTCAATTGTTTTGCCATTCTGCCTTCTTGCGCTTAGATTCCTTGACTGGGTCCAGCACAAAGCAAACATCCTTTTGAGCTTGGAACTTGAAAGTGCCACCACTTTCCTGGCGCTCCATCGTGTGCATGGATAGCTTCACATTGACCTCCCCAGTATTCTCCAACTCGCTGAGCGCAGCCCCAAGGGTCACCACCTGAGAAATTCAAAAGTGATTATTAGATTGAATTGCTGTATGTAAATATTAAATTTATCTACCTATATTATATATTCTAAAGGTATAATACTATGTGCATTACCAGAACAAGTTGCCTTCAAACACAACCATTACAAGTTCAAGATAGTACCAAAACACCTTGCCAAAGAGATCCATTTTGCGAATGTGGTCTGGTAGACGCCGGTCTGGTTCCAAGATGCACAACTCATCGCCTGAGTTGACTTTGAAGGAGACCCAGCGACCACTAAGGTCAGACTGGACATCCTTTGCATCAGGTCCTTCACAGAAGTCACCACTCCCAAAGCCAAACAGCTCGCATGGTCCCTTCATCTCAAAGGAATCAGAACGCTTTTTGCCATCGCATGCCACAGCCCAAAGTACTTCTTGCTTGAGATCATAGATCAGCTTGAAAGACCCACAAGCAAGTGCAAGCCTCAGGGCAAACCCCACCAGATAAAAGCTGAAAAGGAAACATGTGCATTGAACTTTAAGATTGCCAAAAAACTTCTCTTGGATTGAAGCTTCATGATCTGCCAGCTTCACCGTGCTTTCAACCCTCATCTTCTTTGTTGGCGCTTCTTGTGTGTTATTGCCTTTGCCACCTCATTGAGTCTGTGAGTGTCTTGATAATGAACAGTACTTAAAAGTGGGTAATCCAATTTTTCCACTGAAAACAACAAGTTGAAGAACAAAAAGCTGAAGAAACCAATGCCTTGTGGTTCATAACCAAGTTTCCCTCCACTTCAGCATGTCCTCGTTTGATGCCCTGCGGGTTATACTTCTTGTTGTGTGCTTCCACCAGCGATGTCATTTCAACCGCAAACATGTCATTGCCAAGCCAGTAGTCCACAAGGTTTTGCTTGATGGCCAGTGCACCAGGAACTGGAAGGCACACCTGGAACTCTGGAGTTGGGACACTGTTTGCCTTTTGCTTGAGCTCATTGACAACTTGCTCAAACTCAGGGAATCCAGGTAGCTTAAGACTTCCACTTCTGCACATTGAATAAGCCTTTTAGCCAATAGCAGCTGCACAGTAGCTTGCTTCATGTGTGGTGTGGTAAGCCGTTGAACACGCAAACTTCTCCCCTGACACAAAGAAAAGTGCAGCTACAAAAACACATGTTGTTTTCCACAAGGAAACTCACAAACTCACAAGGAAACACAATTTCCATATGGTTGTTTGGGCCTGCTGCCGCCTTTGTCATCGCAAAGCAAGCTGGAAATCCATCATAGCCAAGAAGATCCAACAGCACGTTGTTGGTCTCCCCATCCCCTGTGTTGAGCACTGCGCCCACCACCTTCTCCACAACACTGTAGCCGGCAAGGTGCTCAGGGTCCAGCAATGAATTGTGAAAAGATCCAAGCAAAGATAAACAACATGATAAACGTATCATAATGAGATAGTTGAGATAATATGAACAAGTAGAACCATTATGATAGTTGAAAAAGCCATTCAAAAGCCTGCCTGCTTGAGTTCTTGGACCCTGGTGAGGCGAGAATCCACGGCAAACTTAGAAGCCTTGTCACCCTTGAGCATTTCATTCCTTTGAAGCAACTGGTGAAAGACTGTAGAAGCAACAGTTGGAAACTCTTCACTTCAAACAATAGGAGTTGACAGTCATAGACACATTCAACAACAAATACAAAAAACTCAAATCAACACCAAGGAACCTTGGCAACATTCCTACACCATGCACCACTCCAGACTTGAAGACTGGCGCTTTCAGGAAGCAGTTGCCACGGTCTGAGCTTGTGATCAGAAGCCCAGAGTGATATCCTTCCCTTGTGCCATACACACTGGAAGGTTCAAAGAAGATAGAGATTGGGCGAACCTTTGGGGTTGAGAGCTAATGGAGTTTGACATGGAGTTCACACTTGTCAGCCAACAACACTACAACCTACTTGACTTAAGCCCCAAACTTTTTAGAACTCCATGCCTTCAGGTCCCTTTGTGGTTCCATGAACATGCACTGCAGCTTGTAGCGGAAATCACGCAAGATGGCATCAGCAGATGTGTGTGCCGTTCCATCATCTTCAATCTCTTCCTCACTGCCTGCCCAACTGGTCAAGTTCATGCAACTATGACCTGGTTATTTTGGTTTCTCACAATGATGAAGCAAAACAACTGCAATACTATTTCATGTTAAACATGCTCAAATCAACAAATAACAACAAACAAAAGGACATGGCCTTCATGTTTCTTGACATCACCATCAGCATCTTCTTTGTCCACGTCATCATCTTTCCTCATCTTTTTGTAAAAAACAAAACACACACAACATGATCCCTCTTGTAAAATGATAAAAGTCAGAGACAATGATCCCTAATGTAAAATGATAAAAGTCAGAGACAATGATCACTAAAATAAATAAATGATAAAATTGTCAGAGAAAATACAGTGAAAACTATTACTAAAATGAAAACAGGTTACTTGGGTGAAGAGCGCAAATCAGAAGCCCGATTGGGCAGGAGCACGATGGCCACTGAATGCCTGGGAAAGCTGTGAAGGATCTGTGTGACTTGGTCCAGGGTGAATACCAGCTTCTTGCCAGAGACAACCCCACTGCACACATAGTTGATCCAAAGAACAAGTCGCTCTTGCTCTGTTCTGCGCACTCCTTGCCCAAAGCCTGAGAAGGTTTGCTGAAGCCATGGCTCATTCTGAGCTGGATATGTGCTGGCATCAGCATCTGGCTCCACTCCTAGCAGTATTCACACCTTTTTTGGCACACCCAAAAAGTACCTTTTGGCAAAGTCTTTTGCACCAGTACCAACAAATGTTTCTGGCCTTTTTTTCACATTGAAATGGTTCAGTCCTTGTGGCGTTTTGGTTGGTGACACATCCCACGTTGGCAAAGTCTCGCTGACAAAGTCATTCACAAGCTTCCATGCAGTTGCATGCATTTTCTGCAAGGGAGACTAATGGCTTGAAGGTATAGTGAAGATTCCAACTTTTTATTGGGTTCACTGGATGGTATGGTTGTTATTGTGACCCTTTGTTGTTATAACCCATTAAATGTCCCAACAGATTTAATACCTTGAATGCTCAAACCAAGGAACGAGATGGTTTGATTTTGCCAGCCTCCAGACTGTGAACCAGGACTGAGCGAGCTCGTGCTGAGTTCATTTCTGAAGTCGCCAAGAACTTGTCTTGCATGCACTGATCATTTGATAAGTTGGTAGCGAAGAGATTAAACGCTGCTTGCAAAGAGGTTTTCCTTGCATTGTTCACGTTTGATTGGGCAGAAATGATGTGATCTTCCTGCTGTCGACCACAAGCTTCCTGAACAAAGGCCAACTTCTTGAAGTCGAAACCACTATCCAAACCCTTCCTTGGTGTCATATGGAGTGGTTCTGACAGGACAAAACTGTGTCCCTGAAATTACAAGAATAGAACAAAAGGACATCCAATTTGATCACTGCCCCAGCATCACTTGCACACGCAACTCAGAGTCAAGTGCCCTTGGATTGTGACCGCTTGGCAGGACCCTTCAATGAATCATTGATTGGTGGAGAAGATGCTGGGTGGAGAAGATCAACAGCGAGTTGATCATGAGTCTGGCCATACTTGGTGGGTGGGAGGTGTGGGGGTGGGCTTACAGCAATGTTTGATGTGCTTTAGCCCCAGATTGAATTCTTTAAAGTCTATAACAATAGATTAGATTTTGCTAAAAGACTTCAGCATCTCTCATTGTTGAGTCAAAAAGGGGCAAGCCATAGGGACTTCCTGCCCTGTGTGTTCTCTTCTGCGCAGGGCCTTCTAATATCTTCTAATCTTTGTGAACAAAGCCATAATATTTCCACAGACATTGCAAACCGGTGTTAGCCAGAAAAGTGGTTTAAGCCAACAGCTCCTGGGAGAAGCCAAAAGTGCTTTGATGATATTCTGGGTATTGTGGTCACCCATGGAGTTTACCATTTATTGAAACCTCTGTTTGGACCTGGGGTTGGCCAGTCCCCCCAAAAAGATCTTAATATCAGGGCTTCCCAAGTTGCAGATCTTCCCAGGAACCAAAAAACTGCCCAAACACACAGTGTATCCCATGTTTTTCTTAGACACTCTGGCCATTCCCTCACATGTGGGAGGTTGTGGGAGTGATGCGGTTTTGTTTGCAAAGTTGGGGGGAGTGTTGCGGTTTGCTGTGCTCAAATGTGGGAGTGATGCGGTTTTGTTTGCAAAGTTGGGGGGAGTGTTGCGGTTTGCTGTGCTCAAATGTGGGAGTGATGCGGTTTTGTTTGCACAGTTGGGGGGAGTGTTGCGGTTTTTTTTGCAAAGCTCTTGGCAGTGATGCGGTTTCTGGAAACCACATCACAAATCTATGGATTTAAGGATTTTTATGGTTTCTTGTATTTCTATTCATTTTCATGCAAATCCCAATGTTGAATTCCCAGCCCCAAATGTGCTGCGGTTTCTGGAAACCACATCACAAAACTATATATTTGGAGGTAGAGGATCATTTTTCTGGTCATAAATTAGAGTTCAGAAAATCTTCACTTTGTCCATTCTCCTGTAGATTGTGATGTGGTTTCTGGAAACCACATCACTTTTGAGCCTCAGATTTTGAGGCTCTAAAGTGCATGGTTTTGGTTGGTTTTGATGTTTTGCCAGCCAAGGCACCCAATCTTCCATTGATCCAAGATGCCATCCAGCACCTTGCCTTCACCAATGTAGGAGCGAATCTGTGGCCACACATAGTTCATAAGGCAACAGATCTGTAGTAGTTCCACCATTGCTGGTTGATCACGTTGGGCCATCTTCTGGGAAGGGAAGCAAATTTATGGGAGGGATCAATTCAATGTTCTGTTTAGTTATTGAATCAAACAACCCTGCAAGAGTTGGTCCTTCTGCTTGGTTGGGGCATTCTTTCCAACCTTCTTGTCAAAGTCAGTCATAGCACGGTCTGCCCACAACTCCACCGCTTCAGCAGTGACTGTCTGAGCAACAAGGTGTGGTGATGGGTTTTCACAGAACACAAAACATAGATATAGAAAAAAGCATTGCCTGAATCTCCTTCCAAGGGTGTGCTGCGTGATCAATCAGCTGATTGCCAATCACGAAGTAGTCACCCTCCATATTCTCCATGCACAAAGCTGACAGGGGGTGGGATGGGGTAGGTAGTAGGATTGAATGAGACAGACTTGTTTGGAAAAAATTGGAAACTTAATACCTAGCCTGCATGCTCTGGCTTGCTCTCATTGTAGCATTCCTTCAAAGCATCCCATAGTGCTGCAGGGCTCCGCAAGAGGTTGTAAATCAGGCGACGAGTGGAATCACCCACCCTCCAGCCCTGGGCAAGGTTGGAACCATCTCCCCCTTCCAAACAAAGCTTGCACATAATAGATGGTTTAGACTTCAGTTTGGACAAGGAACACGATGATTTCCAACTGTCTTGTTGTAATCAGCAATGGAGGCATACAACACATCTCGTAGAGCAGACTTCTTTGCACCTGGAGCCTCCTGCTTGATTCGCACTGTCTCCTTGAACAAGAGAAGCAGGTCCAGTGCTGAAGGCTTGACCTTCTCCGCAGTGCGATTGGCCAGGCCTGGGAGCAGTGGACATGTTGTGACATTGAAAGGGGGAAGGAGGGACAGAGCAGCCAGGGTTGATTCTGACCAAGTCCCCCACACAAAGTATCATATAGGAAGTCTTCAGGTTTTGCGTGTTTGGTGTAGTTGCACTTGACATACTTCATGCTTGCTACCACTTTGCACATTGTCTCATCTTCTTCAAGCTGCTCTGCTGTTATACCCTTGGCTGGTAGCGCTAATAGCAGTGGCCCTACCCCAAAAAGAGTTCAGCAACAGTCCAGGAAACTAAGGGAAGAACCAGGTCAATCAATAGGGCAATGATTGACAGCATGATGATCGCTTTATTATGTCCATCAACATAGCATACAGAGAAGGCCTTGATATCATAGAGCCCCTTGTCAGGCTCCACTGTGCTCATGTCGTATTTGACCTCGAGACATTCACGGTGCCATTCATATCCTTTGCTGAGGAAGGATCCAAAGTGTGCTCGAAGCTGATGTGTAGCTGGCCAACGACCAACTTGGCCATACTTGGCTGACTCAGCAAAGGATAGTGTGTTGAGACGATGAAACACACCCTTCACTGTTGTCATGGGGATGTGTGTCACCTGCCGCTGGCTTTCCACGTGCTTTTCCACACAGGCCAAATAGAAGAGGTCATCCATTTCCTTGACTTCAACTGTTGCAGACACCATCCCACCCTTTTGAAACAGTTTGGCAAGCAATTAAAAGAAGTCAGCCAGGACACTTTTTCAAACCTTGCCTTCCCCTCATCACTTCCATAGCGGTTCCATAACCATTGGCCCATGTTCTCTTTGGTGGTGATCTGCAGGATTGTTAATGCATCAACACAACTTAACCTACAGTACTATGTTCCCAATAGGTTTGAAGAAGCAAGCCCTGCCTCCTCCATTCGTGCTGTCACAGCTTTCTGGATGGACCATTCAGGGTCACTGGCCTCAAAGCTAAAAGATGGTGATAAACTTTTGTATGGCCCTGTGACTTAATATCTAATTGCACTCAAGTCACAGAAGGGGTGCCTGCTGGCTGGGCATGGCCAGGCTCCTCCTTCTTCACAGAACTTGCCATTGGAGCGAAGTTGCTGGCAATGCCACGCAGCTTGACAGCTAGGGCACTGGGACAAGTGGAGGTTGGAGACCCAACAAACTCTTCATTTGTTGTACTGAGACTCAACACACTCTTTATGACTTTATGAAAGCAATTCTTTTGGACCAGGCATTCACTTAGTGGTAACGATGAAACCTAACCTGCATTGCGTGAAGCGTGTGGATCTCAGCGTTTGCCAGAACCACTGCACCTCTTTGGATTCCTACTGGGTTCAGAAGGAGAAATTCAATTCGTGGTGGAGGTGACCTTGGTAAAGCCACAGTGCCAGCCAGTTGGCGAAGGTAGTGGATTCCTCGCCCATAGTTGATATAGTGATCCTCCAGATAGGTTGCAACCTCCAACAGAATTTGTTTCCTCTCATCATCCAAGTATGTGGCCACACCTGGAAAGGATGCTGGGTATCATGAGATTGGGTGCAAACAAGTTGTTGGAACAACAAAGCACAAAGCACAACAAAGCACAAAGCCTGGCACTTGGTTTGAGGCCAAACGAGAAAGCTTATCCACGGTAGTATCTGATTGGGACCCTGGCCATACCACCAGGATGCTTTGGCAGAGCTCAGTGTCAGACACAAATGCTTTGACCATCAGAAATACATCGCTGGGAGACTCCCCACCAAAACGTGGAGGCACCCTGTTTGCCACCTGTGCCAATAGGTGTTGTGGCATACCTTATTAGATGCACTGTATGGTTTCAAAAAAACATCAAGTAGGCATCAATGGTTTATTGCAAACCATGGCACTATCTCGCCTGGCAAAAGTGAAGCTATGAGGGATTTCCTTATGATCTGCTATGTGCCGTTTTCTGTAGGCGCCACTGAGGGTAGAGAACTTTGCCAAAGAATCAGTCCAATTCCTGATGCTTGTGACATAGTCCACATGAAATTCCAAGCCAGTCTTTTGGAAGTTGTCACGTAGTCGCTGAACAAGCCACCTGAGTGGCTCCACGGTCAGAGTTCAGGTTTTTAACATAACATAATTAGCAGTGCAGCCAATCACTAAGCACAAAGCTTCATAATGTCAACTGGCGTTTGCCTTGGCTGCTTTGTCATGCTTACAAAACAGGTGTTGGTTGGTAGTATGCTGTTTGCTGAGGTGCATGTCTTCATCCGCTTGGCGTATCAATTTGGAAATCATACCAAAGAAGGCATCTTAGACCAGTGAGAGCAGCAGCTTGACAATGAATGTGAAGCATATTTAATGTATTCTGAGGTTCTGACCTACATCACAATGTGTATGTCCAACTGGAAGGGATTCATGTGAGATAGAAGAGAAATGCTTTCCAGAGACCAGGCTGCAGCAGTATTGTCCAAAAAATGAATTTCGATATTCCTTAGTGGGCTGTGTTATCATACTGCAGGTTGGTAAATTGTTTGGAGAACCACTACCAAAAAAGTTACTAAACATTCTTTCAAGTTTCCTTGGGTGTATTGTCAGTATACACCTTCAAATGGTTTGGCCACGGTTGGTTACAGCGTTGGAACTTGGCAAAGGTCTTATCTAAGGCTCTTGACAGAACTTCCAAGGACCAATCTGACCCTGAAGATTGCTCTGCATCCGCCAAGAAGACCAGTACAGCATGCCCATGCATGAGGCAACAGGTAAATTCTAGCTCAGGCCTTCTTTTGTTTTCGAGTGGTTTGGGAGTTCTGCCATATGGGAATCGAGGAAGCCTGAACTTGCTGTGGTCCATGGAGTCGATTGTACAACAGAGGACATCTCTTTGCACCTTGGCACGAACCTTTGTTTGCTCATAGCATTCACGATCTGCAAAGATTCCACCAAGATGGCGCATGTATTGATCTGACGCTTTGGCATGTTGACTAAGATCATTTGAATGCTTGATGGCACTCTTGAGTTTGTTACAGATTCTGCATTGGGCATGGGTAGACCAAGCCCGAAATTTGATCTTTGATCGCCATCCTGATGATTTCAACACCCTGAAGAATGTTGAGGCAGAAGCACATGGCTGTCCTTTTGCAAAGCATTCTGCTTGGTATAGCCGGAATAAGTCAGAATAGTTTCCTGGAGGCATGTAGCGTCTGGGTAATGTTGAAGGATCATGATTCCCAATGCCCACACTTGCATTGAACGAGTTGCTCATAAGCGCATCTACCAATTTCTTCCTACCTGCTTCTGTAGATGCCCATTGCTCTCTGGGATTGAAGTTCATCCTCAAAGTGAAAGCATTCAGTTATCCAGCTAAGTATGTTGGTGTTTAGCTAGGACACTTTTTGATTTGGAAAACTAAGCCCCAAACTCATGTGGAAGTGTCTCTGCTATGCCAAAATAGGTCTTCTGCAGAAAGGACATAACAGATGCCCTAGCTGGGGCTGAATGATGGTGTTGTCCTTGATTGCAACATGCTACACTAGACATTTGTCTTTGTAGACTTCAAAAGAAAACAGTGGGGGAGCAAGGACATAAGGAAACCTTTCAAAACTTCATGTCCAGGTTCCCAATCCTCTGAGATCCATACCCCTGAAATTTTTCTTGCAGCGAGATAGACGCTCTCGACCAATCCCAAGGATTTGCAGCCACGCGAGTCGACACACTTGTATGCCTAGGCAGGAAAGACTGTGGACAGGACAGGGCCTGGGGGATGGCGACAGCATGGCAAACAAGCTACCTTGCAAGAACCATGAAGCCTTTGGTGCACCAGACTCTGAAGAGCTGCCAGAGGAGGATGCACTAGAGGCTTCTGACTCTGAATAGTCGCTGTCATGTTCTGGCTCATCCAAACTCTCATCAGCTTCCATCAAAATAGTTGGATTCTGTATACTCCAAAGCCTTTGTGAACATCCCAAGGAAGTCTTCCCTCCCATATTGGAACAACCAAACCAAAACATTACAAAACAACTGACTAAAACCACAGAGTTGTAAACAGGCCATGTTGCAAACCATCCTGAGCTGCCTTGGTCAGTGACCAGAAAGCTATGCATATTCGCATTGCATGTTGGAAGCTAACAGATCGCTTGCACTTCGCTTTGCAGCATTCTTTCTTGAGGGCCACTTGCACACGCTCACGGGATTTCCCATTAGCAGAATAGGAAGTTTCTTTGCCTAGGATGGTAAAGTCTCAAGCAGTTCAGGTATGTTTCTTGGACTAGACTGACAAGAAAGTACACAAATCAAGCTGAAGTTGCTTCTGTCATCTATCTCGAGGGATTGAAGCTGGTTCCAACTAAGACTGCGCATGGTGTCAATTTCTGTGAAAGCCTTCTTCTTTGCAGGCTCTTCAGCCTCTGAACTGGAACTGGAGCGTTCTTCAACATAGCTGCCACTGCCGCTAGACGAAGAGGAGGAGGCACTAAACCGTGTGAGTGCCATTGCACCCAGAACTAAACCAAAAACCTAGATCGAATGATGGAACATATATTGTTTGTTGAGAAGCCACATTGTTTCATTGGTTGGGTGTTTGGTAATGCTAGCTACACAGTTGATGGTAAACAGCTACAGCAGTCACAAAACTGTGCAAACATGAGAACTAGTGTTCAAAAGACTTAACAGTAACACCTCCCATTGGAACACAGTAACATTTTCCATGCCCACAGCCAGTCACCAACCAGACCGGTGCAGTGGTTGGGAGTCCTCGAGAGTGACACTCTCAGAGTTCCATTTCTGAAGGTCCATCGCTGAGAAGGCTGCAATCCATGCTGCTGCCACTGCACGGATGTTCATAGAGTTGCCAGCAAGGTCCTCGAGTTCCTTGGCTGGAGATCCAAATGGAGTGAAGGACAGGTATGGAGTGAAGGACAGCTAAATGCAAACAAAAGTCTCTTCTCTTGAGGGCCCTCAGGTCCAGCTCATGCACGGGAAAAGATTGGTACAGCAACTTTTCAACATCTGCAGGGAGCAAAGGGGATGACACACAGTGACCCATGCATGTTGCAAAACTCATGTAATGTGTTTTTCTATCTTTTTCGCCTGGCCTATCACATAGCGGTCCAGAGAGATGTCATAGAACTGCCCTCTAGGGGTCACACACGGCATGTGGACAACATGGCCCATTCGCTCAATGCTTTGGGATAAGTTGAGAACTCCACCTTTCACACCTTTTGTGCGGTATACAGCTAGTGCCTCAGTGTTTGTATGTTTGTTCAAGAAACAAAGAACTGCCAAGAAAAGCTTAAGAATCTAAGTTAATCTAAGGTGAGTGGTCCCAGGAACTGCCACCAGGCTGCATGGCGTTGCCTTTGGTTGGAGATGTGACAGACATCCATGCCCTCCAAAGTCTTGGCCACATGCTTTGGATCCAAATGTAATTCCTCCATAGCTGACCAATGCTTCCATGGCCATCGTGGCTTCTTCTTATCAGGCCTTATTTAGTTCCCCCAAATAACATACTCCTAAACTTCAAGGCCTGTTCCTTCAGCCAAGGAGCTCTGATGTGAGATTGATTTGTGAAATCCTGCTAGATGCCGTCCTGTCCATTCTTTCCACCACGTCTTTCTGAACCAGTGGATGGTCCATTGGGAACATCAAGCGTTGCCTCAGAGGGAAAGCACAGTGGACAATGATTGCTAATGGTGGCTTTGAATTGTCATTGGAAGACCAACCACTTGTTGCAAACAAAACACCTCAAGGGAGGGTTGCCAAGAACCTTCATAGATTCAATAGTTGATGCCAGCACCTTCTCCAACTTGTCAGCTGAACCAATGTCATCTCGAAGCACCTTCTTGTGGACCAATATGATGTAGACTCGACGCCGCCTTGTGGCATCACCCAATTGAAAAGGATCCACAATAACCTGAGAACAAGGCTTGCCAACCAGGGTAGCAAGTATTGTTCACAGGACCCAAACAAACATGAAAAATTAACAAATTAATGTTCCTGGAAGACACCTTGGCACTAGTGTACCCAAATTGGTTCAGTCGCTGGAGGGCCTTTTGTACCTGCTCCCACACTTTGAGCAGGCCAACAACATTCTCCAAGAGCGCTATGCATGGCCTGTTGCGAGCTATCTCCTGGAGGCATAGGAAGAAAGCTTCTGCAGCTTTCTCCTGCATGTAGCGACTTTGATGATGGAGTTGGGAAAACCTTGATTTGGCACACCCACACAGAGAGACTAGTTCTTGGCAGAAAGAAACCCACAAAAAAACTTAATAGATCTTATGACTAAGGCACGGTTGGCATGGAAAGCCACAGCTGTAAGCATTGCTATGCAGGGCCACTTGAGAAGTATCACGGTCTTTCATGCAGGTAAAGATCCTGACTGCCAAATCGGTGTTTATGCCCTTATGGGATCAAACATGTTCATGGACCCAATGCCCCAAGAAAAGTAAATCATTCTTTTCATGCAAGCATCCTTTTTGGCTGCAAATTGGCCATAATGAACTTGAGTGGTCCCACTGCGTTGTCACACCTGACAGATGGCTGTTGAAGGATTTACACAGTAAACCTTGAACCAATGAAATAGTGAACCAATGAAAACTGGTTTCTCCTTTCCATTGAGTGACGAGGAGATGAGGGTGCAATTGTCCCCCAGCAGCTGCTTCAATCCATAGAAAGAACCTTCAGCCCCACTGCAGTCACTTTGTAAATAAACAGGGTGCATCTTCTGGACAAAGGAGTCCATTCCTCAGGGGAGGTTTGAATCATTTTCCAAGACCAATCCTGTTCACCTTTTCAAACATTCTGCCTGACTTGCGAAGCATTTCCTTGCCCCAACCATCCAAGTGAGCCAGTTGCGCAGGTGTCAAGCTGAAGCTGCCACGGTGCTGCTCTGACCTTCACACTTTATGGTCAGCGTGTGGGAAAAACAATGTGCCTATGCAAGGGGGAACCAAATCAGACAAACAAAGGCAAAACTTACTTTGGCACTGCACAGGTTCAGCTGTGCCGTTGCAGTCCCAAGGGGGTCCATCCACTTTGTCATAGATTTGCTAGATCCTGAAGAATCATAAGAGTACTCTTCCATGTACTCATCTGAACTCCATGTCCCTGATGAACTGTAGTCGTCTTCAAGTTCCACACGTCCTTACTTGGGCAAGTGACCAGAGTAAGAAAAGGTCATTGGTGGCCAGAAAATACAATGGACCATAATGGACAAAACTTACAACAATGAATACATCTCAAGGAACCACAAGTACCTGCCACTGGGCTCCTGCTTCGGGAAGGACTAGATCCAGAACCGCTGGAGCAGCTCATGGCTGGCAGTGTTTCAGGTGTTTGCAATCTAAACATGATTTTCTTGACCATGGCTTGACCTTAGCTTTAGTGACATTCAATCAGCCAATACCTCATAAGCTCATAACCTCATTTGAGCTGAATGGCCACAGGACCTGGTTCCACTTGGCAAAGGTTCTGGTTTCCAAGCCACTGTTTTATTAGTATATCTTTATCCTTGGAACATCCTGTAGTCAACCTGTAATGCAGTTTTATGACTTCACAGCTTTGCGCCAGAAGATCCGTTGCTTTTCGCCAGATCTTTTCTCCAGGTTGTGGTGAATGTGCTCATTGTTTCGGGCGAACGTCTTTTCGGCACGTGCCCCGATTCACAGACGATGTTTGTTTGCGAACGATCATGATTGACCACCTTGGACAATTTTGTTGGAAGATGTTGGAAGGGTGCTGCGTGACTGTATAGAAAATCTTAGTGTGCATGCGCATATACACTGATACGTACATACACATGTGTATATTGTTCCACCAAATGCCCAGCTAATTTCCATGTTGGCAGAGCTGCATTTTGCCGGTTGCTCCTCAGGTGCAGCCATCATCCATACCGCTTAAACTGGTTCGTGATCGGCTTCACAGCGGCCTTGGCCCAGGGCTCATTGATACTTCTCTTGCTGCTTTTGGCACCTCGGTCTAATCTGGCCTGACCCAACTTGGGGCTTCACAAAGGTATCGTCCTTGTTAATAGGTTAGCAGGTCCCAATCCTGCAGCCCAGAAGTGCCTCCCTAGAAGGTATACTGTATTTAAGAAATATAAAAACAATATATATATTGGAGGTTTTTGAAACCGTGACTTTTGGGCTAGCATGCCAACCTTGACGGTTGAAGCTTTGCGGCCCGAGCTTTTGCAAGGTGGTCGGCCGCGGCCATGGTGCGGTGGCGCTGGGCCCCGTTTCTGGTGGGCTGGATCGTGGGGCCCAGCCAAGGATGGTGGCAACCTGCCGAAGAGGAGGGAAGCCCGCCACCGAACAGCACCTGCTGGGAGGAGCCGTGGAGCTGCATCCAGCACAGGGTGAATGCCACGATGCTGGCCGCCCAGACCCAGTACAACTCCCTCACGACTTGGGACAGTATCCTGTGGACGGTTCTGGATACCCTACTGAGTGGAGTTGGCTGGTTGATCTTCGGCCAAAACTGGCTTCAGGTGCGCACTGGATGCTCGATGATCCTCCGCATCGTGACCTTAATGGCAGTATGCCTGGTGCTCCACTACTTCCTCTCACTGGCATGGCCTTTGTGTTCCCTCCTCATCGGGACGATCCTCACCGTGGTTTGGTTCGTGCGGGCCTGTGTGCGATGCTGCGGGCGGGTGGCCTTCTACACCCAGAGGATGGCCGGCGGTGTTCCAGAGATCACAGGTGCCACTTTCTTCGGGCCCGATACGGGAGAGGTTCCGGAGACAGCTGACTTGAGGAAGTTGAAGAAGGGCACCAATGAGGACCGATGGGTACTCCTTCGACGGGATGGCCATGTCGTGATCATCAAGGTGACGGAGAATGCCGCCATTAAGTCCAGTGGCATGTACCTGAGCTTTGATCCAGAGGCGACCCGCGGTGACCCTCCCCTCCTTTTGGCTCTGAAAGGCTACGAGAGGGTGCACCTATGCCGGCATGACAGCTGCCCTGAAGATGGGCAACACTTCAAGAGCTATGCCCTGGCTCGGCAATTGAACCCGGAGAAGTTCCACCTGATGTCGACGGCTGAAGGAGCACATCGGTCAGGGTCTCGATTGATGGGATGGTTTTTCTCCAAGGCCAACCAGACGGCTAAGAAGCTGAAGGACTACGCCTCCGAGTCAGAGCATGAGGAGACAGCTTGTTGCTGCGCCCACCTAGTGAGGTGGGAAAGCTCTGCCGGGAAAGAGGCCTTGGGAGACAGGCCGTGTGACAAGGCTGCAACTAATCAGGTGGACCTGCTGGAGGAGGACCTGAATGCTATGCCCTCCACACGAACGCCGAGTTTTTGTCCTGACCACGCGGTTCAATACTTGGTCAAGCGTGCCCCGGCTAAATGCTCCGTTGACGGATGTCGACGAGTGGGTACTTCGACCAGGCAAGGACTCAAGGTGTGCGCGGCCCACGAGGAGCTTCAGACCCCGACTCCAACGAGGAGGTCATCGCGGTCGAGATCCAGGGTGAGGGAACCACCTCCGGGAGAAGATGACGGTGACGAACCACCCGAAGGTGAAGGGGAAGGTCGCCTTCGTCGGAGAGGTCGAGGACGGGAGGTGGCCTATAACACTGACGAGGCGGAAGCCATCCTTCGGGAAGCTCGAGAGGAGGAGGTTGAGACAATGGCTATCCATCCTTCCAGGAGGAGGAGGGTTGCATCACCCGGGCACACCCCGAAGTCCTCGGTCCAACACAGCCTGGCGAGGATGGGGCTCATCAACTCACCTGACCGACGGGTGGACATGACATACCTGGAGGAGTTCATGGAGCAGCTCGCGGATGGCAAGGACCTGCAACTCAGTGAGGAGGACATCAGGAAGCAGATGGCCGCTCAGTCGGGACTCACTTTGGGAGACCTGACCAGGCAACTCTATGAGCAGGCAACGGAGGAGCAGAGGAAAGGCACCAAAGGCCTCACCAAATTCGGCCAAGTGGCGCAAACAAGCAGCCGCTCAAGAAGGGTCTACACCTCCGTCAGAGTGGAGCCTCATCGAGAAGGACCGGGACGGCGGCACACCTACTCCATCCAGTGCGACGTCAGGAGGCAAGACTCTCCAGAGTCCAGGACCTGTAGAGACACCACCGAAGAAGAGACTCGCCCTGATACCACCTCCAGGCATTTATGACCCAGACCGGAAGGCTGGCACAGGCCCTGAAGGAAGGGGAGCGAGCACTGAGATGACCGACATTGCCAAAGCGATCCAACAGCAGACGAATGAACTGGCCACTCTCGTCAAAGCCCAACAGGAGTCAACAGCAGGGGCTGGAGGATCCCTGAAGGGGCTGGGCAAGACTTCAGAAGAACTGGTATATCTGCTCCGGGCATGCGGGCAGTATACCGTGCAAGTCGGCGACGGGGAGTACGGCGCCGCACTCGCGCAGGCCTTGCTGACGGCCCAGGCAGGATCATCCACCAAGTTGAGGACCGCTGGCTTCAGGCAACGGGTCACTTCAAGGCTCGCGATTGGCATCGCTGGTCCATACTGGGGGACACAGGAGAAGTATGCCCTCAGTGCCTCGGACTTCGTGCCCTGCACTGACGCGGAGTTGGACCAATTCGCCATCGAGAGCAGGACTGGAAAGCCCTCCAATGAGCAGCGGCCCGCAGCTCCGACCAGGTATGAAGACTGGCTCAACCGTGCAAAACGCCAGAATGACATCTGGGCATTAGTGTACGGGAGCGAATGGAAGGCAGTCCGAGAGCACGCCGTGAACCTGCTGAGCGAGTGGCACATCGGAGCTCCTCACAAGTGGCCCCTTCAAGTGTTGCTTGACGTATGGGAAGAACTCCACTGGCGGTTTCTGGAAGAGCTCAAGGAGGAGTTGAGGAAGATCAAACGGCTGGCTGGAAGAGAGTCCATGACCTTGAACGACCTCAAGTTCTATGCCCTCATGCCGGATGAAGAGGGCAGAGCGCCATTGGAGCTTCCACAGACCTTTGATCTTCGAAGACCGGATGGATGGTTCATGTCTGAGGTAATGCCCCGCATCGAACGAAGGCAGGAGCGGATGCTATGGAAGATGACGTGGGAAGGGGCCGGGAAAAATCGGGCTCAGGGGCAAACCGCTGGAGGAGATGGCGGATCCAAGGAGGAGAAGCTGACCCTGAAGACCCTGTATGGTCCCAAGCTCACGGCAGAAGAGACGGCACGAGCGAAGGACCGGGCACCCACGAACAAGGAGGGCAAGCTCCTGTGTTGGGGCTATTTGTCCCATCTAGGTTGCTCCCAGCAGGGCTGCCAACGAGCTCATGAACCTCTGAAGGGCCCCTTCGAGTCGCTCGATCCGGCAGTTCAACTCCAGCTGTTGAGGCGAGGGGGCTTGAAGCGGATGAAAGCCGAGACCAAGGACACGGCCACCGAGAAGATCAAGGAGATCAGAGCCGGTGTGGCGAAGGACAAAGCCTCGAAGGTCCAGGATGGGAAGGATCGTCGACGCGCTGGTCAAGGAGATCAACCTCAAGGAGAAGGTGAAGGGCATGAGAAGGCCGGAGGACACCAAGGTGTAAGTTGGGAAGCCCCCGAGGAGATGGTGCAGGTTGATTACACGCACCAGGAGAAGGAGTTTGCTGAGCTGGTCGCGGGCCCTGATGCAACCATCTACGAGAATGTTCATCGGGAGTCGCAACCCCATCCAGGGCGAGAAGGTCAAACGGCACCACAGGAAGCTCAAGACCTCGTCAGGACGGCCCAGAAACTGGCAAACAGACCTGTGTTGAGCAAGTTGCAGGAGGCATCGGATGACCTCTACGCCTGGGCATCTACCAGGGTGGCCAACGACCCGGAGACCCCCTTCGAGACGCTGATGGAGGAGATGGTGCAGTTTGGGTTGGGTGAGTTGGCAGCCGAAGCCGCGTACCTCCTCGAAGCTCATGGGAGGGGTCCCAAGGCCGGAAACAAGGCCAGATGCCGTGTCGAGGAAACCCGGTGGGAGGCGGACGGACCAGGTAAAGCCGTGGTACAGATCGATGAGGACTTGTGGGCAATGTGGGACTTCGGGGAGATGGTCCACATGACGGAAGAACTTGCTGGCCTGCTGGGAATGATTGAGCCAGAGAAGGAGAAGCGCCAGTGCGTCACCAAGGTTTTTGCGGCTGGCCTCCTGCTGTCCCAGACAGGAAGGACACCAAGCATGGACGACGTGGAGAAGCTGACCCAGGATTTTCGGCTGGAGCAGGCACGGCTTGCGGTTGAGGCCGAAGGGGTCATGAGCCATCCAGAGGCGAAGGTCGCCCCAGTGGAACATGAACTTCGGATGTACGCCCACGATATCCTCAAGCCTCATCATGACAAGGACTACCGGGCCCTGGCCGTGTTCCCGTTAGCTGCTCTCGAAGAGATCAGGGTCATTGTGGTCCGGGTGGACTATAAAGGGGACATCCTGCTGGAGACGGTGGTAGGCAGCCAGTGGACACAGCAAGACGTGTGGGTGATGATTTCCAAGGGACACATGACTCTGTTGCAGCCTCAAAGTCTGCCGGAGACGCCCTGCTGGACAAGGAGGAGGTCTACCATACCCCATGTTTGGGATTCCGGTACTTCTGGCATCAGCGCCACGATCAAGCAAAAACTGCCCCGGGCATCATTGCGTGTCGACACTGCAAAACCAGGAAAGGAGGTGGTAAAGAAGGCCCAGATACCTACGGATGCTTGAGGAAGACAACTTGCTTGCCGGCGTTGTCTCAATGCGTGGCCGGAGGAGTTCAGACGGCCAAGGCAGTCCATGGCGCCAAAGCTCATGATGGGTTGGTGCTACGGGAGTACTTCGCCGGGCATGGAGTCATCACTCAAGGTTGGCGGGAGGCCGGCATGGTTGCCCTCGAGCCTATCGAGTTGTATGACCAACCCCACCAGCAGCTTGGTCCCCGGCCGGACCACGATCTTGCCAATCCGGCACGGCAGAAACACTATCTGGACCAGCTTGGGCAGCACGAGTCCAACGTGCAATGGATCGCTAGCCCCTGCACTACATTCTGTGACTGGTGCCTCCAGAACGGGGGAACGAGGACCTTCCAAAACCCAGCTGGCTTGCCAACCGAGAAGGAGCGTATCGGGAATGTCCTGTCGGAGTATGGCGCGGCAATCTTCGAGAAGTCCATGCAGCAAGGAGGTTTCCCCATTGCCGAGAGTTCCGGGACCTCAGGCAGGTACCCCAAACAATGGCATTTACCTCAATGGCGAAGGTTGCTCCAGCGGCCAGATGTGGACTTCATCGAGATTGACATGTGCGCCTTCGGGCTTGGACCGCCAGGGACACAAGGGCAGTTCTATCGTCATCGGACGGGCCTGGCCTTCCCTCATCACCCTCCCCTTCGGCAAGCTCTCCTACGGCTATGTCCCGGCATCTCCCAGACCCACCAGCACGTGGCACTCAAAGGTAGCCGGCCAGGGGTCATGGTATCTCGATGTACCGAAGCCGGTGTTTACGCCCCCAACTTTGTCCGTGCTGTGGTCGAAACCCTCATCCATACTTTGGTAGGGGGGGGGGGCAAACCACAACCCCTCCTCTCCAAAACTGGTGGCCGACCTTACGGATGGAATGTGTATGAGGAGGATCCACCAGCTGAAGAGGAAGAGGAGGAGGCAGAGTTCCATCAAGGGCTTCAACACCTCAACCAAGAGGAGCTCCAGCAGGTCGCGGGCATGGCGGTTGAGGCAGCTCTGGGGGTGTGGAACGGCCGGACCATCCATGAGCCCGAGGAGACGGTCGAGGAGTCTGTGGGAACCATGATGGAGGAGCCTGACGAAGCGCTGGAGGAACCGGATGAGGTCGTCGAACCGCCTGATGAGGGCGAAGCAGGGCAGGGACAAGGGGGAGAAGCAGCCGGATCGGGGGAGTCGGTGGCAGAACCTGCAGCGGCCTATCGCATTGTGTGGGCAGACCTGGGTCAGAGAAACCGCATGGAGGTGGACGCTCAGCGGGGCTACGTTTGGCTGTATACCAACGAGCCCAGAGACGACCTGGCGGTCCCTGATGAGCTGCCTTATCCTTACTGGCCCCATCGATTCCACAGTGAGAGGTACACGAGATGTGAGACTCGGGACACGCTGGGCCGTCTACGGGTGGCAGAGGTCTATGATGACTGGAGGGTACAGGGTCGGGGACGACCACCCTTTGTGCCGTGGACGGGTGTCACCTTGTTCGTCTTCCGGGACGGTCAACTGCCTTGGTCGCACGTCTTGGTTGAGGACGAGCAGAACCGGAGGGAAGGGCCGGATGAACCCGACCGGTCGGGAGGGGGCCCAGGAGATGACCGGCAAGGATGGACCTCGAGCCACCACACAGGTTGGCAAGGGTTAAATCAAGCCGGAGTTTGGCAGGACTGGTCTTCAGGCACATGGCAGGACTCCCGAGCAGGAGGCAGCCGGTGGGTCGACTTTGAGGAGGAGGGCATCTCAGGAGCAGCGGCTACGGCAGCTATGGCCTACATCCAGGAGATTGACGGCATGCAGGGTTCCGGTCCGGCGACATGGCAGGCGGTTCGGGAGAGAGGAGACATGCTGCTTGGACGGGCCGGATCGGTCGAGAAGGCAGCCATCGCCCTATGGATAGCAAGAGAGCATCTGGGGCGAAACAACCTGCAGGGCGTTGACAGTGAGGAGCTAGACCCTTTGGTGCACCCGGACCACCTGGACTACCTGAGGGAGGTGAGAGCGCAAGGGATGCCCGCACGCTACCAGGGTCAGAGGGAGAGAGTGGCAACTAGACCGCACCCGAGAGCCAGAGCCGACTTGGGCCAAGTCTATGTCCAGTTGATGAAAGACATCATGAAGCACAGGGTGCTGGTGGTCTCGGCAGATCATCAAGACCTGGGACATACGGTGTCGTCACCATTTGAGCTGGTCCCGAAGATGCTTCCCAATCGGACCCTGTCTACAGAGGCAAGGTTGGTTCACGACCAACGACAGGTCAATGAAGGCACGCACAAAGACCTTCATCCACCGGCGGCACAGCCTACCCACGAACAGGTCGCCAGGAGGGTATTGTGGTTGAAAGCACGCTACCCGGGAGTGAAGGTCGTCATGGCCAAGAAGGATGTGGCCGGGGCATTCCGTCTCCTCTGGGTTGACCCGCGAGATGTTGAGCTTTTTGCAGGAGATGTCCCTTGGAGACCGGAGTGCATGGAGCAGAGCGGGGGCGGGGGAGAATGTGATGGTTCAGGCCTGACGCTTATCTACCTCGTCTCCAGCTTTGGCTTCTCGGGGTCCCCAGGAGAGTGGACGGTGTGGGGGCGAGCTACGGAGGAAGTTCACCGCAACCTGCGACCGCTCCACAGCCGAAGGGACGGAGAGGTGCATTTCTGCGGGAAGATCTTGGTCGATGACATGGTGCTGGTCGAGCCGGTGATCGGTTTGCGGCCTTGGGTGTCCAGCGAGGTCTATGAGTGGGCTGTGGTGAAGTTGCTGGGCGAGAAGGCCATCAACAAGTTGAAGGACGCAGAAGAGGGACAGTTCAGCAACCAGCAGACAGTTTGGGGCCTCACTATCGACACCGACCTCGAGAAGATGTCGCTTCCGGAGGCACGGATCCTCAAAGGGGCCTACTTGCTGGCACAGCCTCACTTCAACTATGGCAACAAGGCCCTGCCGTTGAAGGAACTACAACGGTTCCGGGGTATCGCAAACGGCTGGAGCGCGGTGATTGCGGGTCTACGAAATGAGTTGAAGGCGGCAGACCTCTTCCTTGGTGGAGTTGATGGTGGGGCAGCAGTACACCCGCGGCTTCATCAACCGGAGGGCTCAGAGGCAAGGCGGATCGAGGAGACCAGTGCTTGGGAGGCGTTGTGGGAGCTCTTCGAGGACTGCAGGTGGCTGTGCTCGAGGTCCGAGACATGGGCGGCCAAGTTTGGGGGAGACATCAGGGAGTTGCTACCCCCACTCGAGAGGCTCGCACTTCCAGGGCAGCGAGGGGCGGGTCCTGTCTTCGTTTCATCGGATGCTACCCCCGACGTCGTGGCAGCGATCGACTGGACGAACCACCTGGCATGCCGCGAACCCATCGAGGTTTTGAAGCCGTGGATACGTCAGGTGCTCGAGGCTGAAGGGCAGGAGGATGGGAAACTCGCCATTCATCTGGGAGAAATGTTAAGCTTTGTCGCCTTTGCCTGTCGGGTGGGCCACATGTGGGAAGGACGAGTGGTCATCTATGCCGGTGACAACAAGGTCGTCTACTTCTGGATTACTGGACGCAAGAGCGGAGTGCGGGCAGGGAGGCTTCTGATCCGGGTCCTCAACCTCGTCGAGAAGAGGCACAGGTGTAGGATCCTTGGAGGATGGTGGAGGACCTTCCACAACGAGGATGCTGACGCACTGACCCGTCTGGATGAGCCGCAAGCATTGCAGCTTATGAAGGATAAAGGTTGGAGCCGGCAAGACATCAAGCCCAGCATCCATCAGGCCCTGGAAGACACGGAGCGGTTTGGGCTTTGCTTTCTGTCCTGGGCCGACCAAGAGGACCGCCATGAGCTGATGCGTCTTCGAGAGCTTCGGGTCTTTCGTGCCATCTTTCGGCAGCCAGCGGATTTACTGGATGTCGAGGTCGTTGAGTGGACACCCGGACAACGTTACGTGAAGGACCTGGAGTACTTCTCGGGCAACGGCAATGGAATGTACAAGATTGTCGCGGGCACCATCGGCCCTGATCCGAAAGGCAGGAAGGTGACAGAGTTCACAAGGTACCTGGACCAGGAGATCTTCGATGTGGCGGTTCTCGAAGGGCCCACGGAGGTGATGTGGAGGCGGCTAGAGCAGTGGGCCATCTCAGTTGGCTGGGGCTGCAGCTTGCAGGAGTTTTTGACCTCCGAGCTTGGCGAGGCTTTGGTGCGCAGGAGGATCGCGGGGTTCCTGTTCCCGGGTGACAAGACCGAGGAGGAGGTTGAGCGCCTGATGGTCAAGACGGTCACTCCGCCCTCGATGGGCTCCTACCTGAGAAAGATCACCGAGGAGAACTGCTTGCCGACCTACAAGATGGAAACGGCAATCAACGTGGGCCAGGAGGCGATGCTGCCTATGGTGACCGCCCATGTGTGGCTAGAACCTGAAGGACAGAGGCACAATGTTTACTCGATGGGGGGGCCCGGTAGGTGGCCGTTGTCCGACGCAACCGAGAAGGGCATGCAGAAGATCTTCGTGCAGGACAAAGCGGCTCCAGTTGGTAAAGTGAGGGTGCTTTCCGGTGAGGAGGTGTGGATCCTGCAGGGCAGACGCCTGGATGAATGGCGCACCCTCGTATCCCAGATCGGCGAGGTCGAAGCTGAGAGAGAAGGGTGCAGGGCCACCGGACGCAGGACAGCCTTGAACCTGATTGGGGCGGCAGCAGAGCTGGCGAAGGAAGTGCGGGAGAATAAGGCCGGCATGTGCATCGACCAGGAGGACTACAAGACCCTCGGCTCTCTTCTACAATGGCTTCGCAAGTGGAGAAGGGGAGACTTCGGAAGGGCGCCTCCGAACCGAAAGGCCGGAGGTCAGGAGGTTGGGCATGTCTGGTTCTGGGGCGAAGAGCTATGGCTGGGCGCCCTGGAGTTCGAGTCCGGCAGCTTCGAGGGTATTGAGGAAAGACGGTGCGGAGGGCGCCGAAAAGGGCCGGTGAGGCCTGTGGTCGAGGACGGAGGGCGTTTCGTCGATTTGAACCCCGACTTCAACCAGGACATGGAGATCCAAGCGCAGATTGAGGAATGGCTGGAGGCGCACCTCACTGGCGACAAGGCGGAGAGCACCCAGAAGGCCTACCTGTCGGCATGGAACAAATGGTGCGATTGGAGCAAGAGGCAAGGGTGGCTATCCCCCTACCTTGACCATAGAGGTGACCCGATCCAGAATGAGAACAAGGTCCTCGGATATCTGGGCTACTTGGGATGGTTGGGCACCTCTGCGGCGACCATGAAGCAGGCTGTCTTCGCCATCAAGGACGCCCACAAGAGAGCGGGACATGGGGATACCACTACGAAGATGCACCGTCTCTGGATCGTCCTCAACTCGCTGGAGAAGCATTCGGTCAAGCGTCCGAGGCGATTGGGGGTCACCGTACAGATGCTCAAGTGGCTTGGCAAGCAGTTCGTAGCTGGGGCCGAGTCCTTTGGGGAGCTCAAAGTCGACTGCCGGATGATCCAGGCGGCGCTCCTGACGGCGTGGTTCTTCATGCTGAGGGCCCGGGAATTTGCGGACTCGAGTGGGGTCGACCAGGAGATGGTAGTCCGGGGACAGGATATCTCGTTGACCACCCAGGGACAAGCCGACGAGATGGATCCGGAGGAGGTCACCCTGCAGTTCCGGAAGACCAAGGCGGATCAGGAAGCATTTGGGACCTGCAAGACTATGAAGAAGACGGAGATTGAGTATGTCTGCGTGGTCACCGCTCTCCATCGCCTTCGTGAAGTCGCACCGAGGAGATTCGGAAAGGGGCCTGAAAGCCACCTTCCGCTGTTCCGCTGGGCATCAGGTGCAGTGATCAAGCGGCTCGAAGTCCAGAACTTGCTCCAGAAGGCAGCTAAAGCCCTTGGTCTACCAGCGGAACGGTTCCAGTCGCATTCCCTCCGCATCGGCGGAGCTTCGGCCTTGTATCAGGCCACGGGCGAGATTGAGGTCGTCAAGAGGACCGGAAGATGGACGTCCTCGGCGGTGCAACGCTACCTCCACGACTCCGGAGACGTGCTGGCAGGTTTGGCAAAGAAGATGGCCACGGTTGACCAGCACGTGCACTACACGTAGTGGTGAGCTTGCCCAGAGCGAAGTTAGTGAAGAGGGGTGGTGGCAAGGCCATAGATGACTGACAAGTCACTGGCCGGAGCACCAACTTCAGTGCTTCGCAGCGAGAAAGGGTGAGCGCTATGCACTTAAGTTGGAGGTTTTTGAAACCGTGACTTTTGGGCTAGCATGCCAACCTTGACGGTTGAAGCTTTGCGGCCCGAGCTTTTGCAACCCACCTCCCACCCAGGGTGGTGGCAAGGCCATAGATGACTGACAAGTCACTGGCCGGAGCACCAACTTCAGTGCTTCGCAGCGAGAAAGGGTGAGCGCTATGCACTTAAGTATATATTAAAATATCTATATACACATCACCAACATCTTTGGTGTCCTAGCTTGTGATTAATTGACTGTTGCGCTACCATTGCCCAATGTATGAAGCATGACAGACATGCAGTGCAGCACGTGTCCTCAGAGTGCAGGGTTGCAGTAGCTTAGTAGCTTGGTGTGGCTTGTGGCCTGCGGGAAAAACGTTGAACTGGTGTTTGAAAAAGTCGTTGACCAGACCTTGGCAATGCTCACAATTATCAATAAACATACTTAGAGCAGCCAACGCCGGGCAACCACTAAATGTTCCCTGTTGATTGGTGAGGCCTCCCCCATGCGGAAATGTTTGATTGTTTGGGCAGGGAGGTCTCAGTCAACCTTGTGGTGCCCCAGAATCAGCCAGCATCGAAGGCAGAAGTGCTGTCCTCACCTGCACCAGGTCGTGGCTCTTCGATATATCTTGATTGGACCTCCAACTTTGCTGGGCAAAAATGCGGAACCTAGATGTCATCAGTTTATTTTTCTTGAGTGCCCCAAGGGCCCATTCGACTTTGAGATCGAAGAAGCCCAAAGAGGTAAGTCAAGAAGTCTGGCAAAGCTTGTTACATGGATTTCGGGTTCCTCCTTGTTTTTTTTAGATGCCTCGTGCTTGGTGCATCTTGGTTTTTTCTTTACATTCAGATCCTGTTCTCATGCTTTTCACAACCGTATGTTCATGGAGATTTGCGTGTTCTAGGTGGAGGTAGCACCGCAGTTCATGAGTAGCAGAGTAGGTAAGACTTGAGACGCATGAGTATGGAAATTGATAAACCATGTCACTGGCCATCAGATGAGTTTTCACTGAAGATGCCCAATACGTTTGATGCGTTATTGTCACAGACAGAGAGCATAGCAGCTGGAACCAACGCATCAAAGCTCATGCAGCTGGAACCCAACCTCATCCACTCCTCATCCTCGCTTTGATCGATTTGGCGACGGAGCGGGAGTTGTTGGCCCAGATTGATTTCTGGTCTCAGTCCGACTTTTAACTCACACTTTAAAGCCTACACTTGTGATGTGGTAAAGGCACAAGAAACCATGTACTCTAACCACGCATCGCCACCACATACACGGTGCACGTGTTGCCTGGGCACGGCGGCTGTCAATTCCCTACAAAGGATGACAATTAATAAGAATGAATTAATTTTCATGGACCTACAACCTGCCAAAATATATTAGAATAAATCTCTCAATAGATATATTTTGGCTAGTCTTATTTTATTCTATTTATTGCCATTTAATGATAAAATATCTTATGAAATTAAATGGCAATAGGATTAACATTAATAGACCAAAAACACCATTGTCTTTCATCATATTTCTTTATTGGTGTTTTTGGGACTTATGTACAATCATTTATTGATCGAGAATTTCATAATAGCAATTTTATTTATAGTAAATTCTCGTTCATCAATAAATAAATCTTATTAATATTAATGTGGCCTTATGCTATTTCATTTATCTTTTATTAATATTACATCATAAGGCCACATATAAATATATTGTATTATTAACTTTGGGGCAGTTATAAGTGTTAATTCTTTCGTTTAAGAAACAACATGAAGTTGGCCTTCATTTTATGGCCGCCATGCCTTTATAGATCTTTAGAATAGGAAGAGCAACTGCATATGAGCATGGCTGCCGAATGAGCATGGCTGCCGGCTTGCCTGGGCTTGATCGACTCGACATGCATGGCCCGCATGGCTGTGAAGCGTATCTCCTCACGACTGAGGAGATCGCAGTGAAGGCATTCTTAGTTCTTGCTGGAATTGGCGCCCTTGGCCTCAGAACAACGACGAGAGTTCTTTTGTGGTCCAACCTTTCTCTTTAAACACAGAAGAACTTCTCACACAGAAGAAGTTACTTGCCGTTTCGGATCACTCAGAAGTTGCTTACTGTCAAGAAGCTCCAAAGAAGCTGTGAGCGTCACGGAGCTTCTGCCACGAGGCTTTCCTCTTCATTATGTTTGCCACTTGCCGTGTGCATCGGCCGGAGCACTTCTTTCCCAGTATCGTCGCTTGGCACACTTCTTGGTGGTTGATCATGGGAGGGGGGTGAAGGAAGAGAGAAAGAAAGACCTTCCTGTTTCCGCTTGAAGCATGGCCAAAGCAGCTTTGTTGCGGCCATGGCACATCAATCCACTTCGATGTTCAGAACTGCTATGACTGCGCGAGGTTCGGACCGTGTTGTTGGACGGTCCGTATTCCGAGGTCAACGCGTCCCTCATCTTTGGTTGGCTCTTGGGGCCTTTGGCCATTCTGTGGACCAATGCTGTCCGCTTTGGAGTACCTCGGACGGGCAGCGGCCCAAAGCACCGGTCTTGAGACCACCAGAAGTGGGGTTTATATTTGTTTGAGGTGCCCAGCCCGATTATGTAAAGGTGGGATGTTTGATGCTGACTAGGCAAAGCCATATCAAAGCATAGCCTGGAAGCACACCCCATGGTTAGTCAATGTTAGTCAAACATCCCGGCCCGGGAACTTCAACAGAATACACAGAGGTGGCACAACATGGTACAAGCTCACACTCAAATGACTCAGACATACTCAAACCGTCTCAAACCAATTATTCCTTTGGACTCTCTGTTTTTGGGTGAGGTTCATTAAAACAGACCGATGATGAATCGTGATGGCTCAAAGTCGCCCTTGCTTTGTCAGAAACTGTTTTCAATTAGCTACTAGTAGCTTCTTGCTACTAGTAGCGATGCACCTGTTCCTAATAGCGATGCACTTGCTACTAGTAGCTTTTTGCTGTTTTAAAACACTTCGACGTGTACAGGTCATGTTGGTTCCATCAACAGCCACAGGCGAGCTGGCTGGCAATTGAGCCATTCGGAATGAAGTGCAAACTGGAGAGGGGATGACATGGGTCACATTTTGTCATTCGATTTTTAAAGACAAATTGGAACATGCCTTTTCCATCCTTTTCCTGTTACCAATTGAAGCCAGGCAGCGAGCTGCACCATACATACAATGAGGTGCCTCGCTTCTTGCAGTTTTCGCTTTTGAACCTCCGCGGAAAGACAGATCCCAGATTCGGCCTGTGCGCCAGGTGACTGACAGCAGCGATGGTGACTTGACAGCAACCACACCTTATTCACAAGAGACACCCACGTGCTAGAGAGGCTTTCAGGACTGCAAGGTGGAATTGGACCACGATATACCACGATGTATATAAGCTACGCAATATTTTGATTGCGATCCCCGCGTCTTTGTCAACAAAGGGAACATCTTTCCAGGAATTCAGCACAAGAAGACAGTTTTGCGGCGCGGGCCGGCTTTTTCATTTGTAACAAAAAGCTAGCCGTTGAAATATCGAGCGACTCTGCTTCACCAACATATTCTGGAGAGTGCCCACAAATCATATGACCCACACAGTGGACAGAACCTTTCTGCTTTGGGAACCTCTCCACAGCGAGGATTTCAGCACCGACCAGTCCCTAGGCCCCGCTCCGGCACCGTATGACGCGTCCGTTCCACTCCGCTGCGTCATACGCTTTTCAAAGGCAACTTCCGTTTTGATGCGTCAGGTTGGAGTGATGAACCCTGAGCAGCCTGAGCAGCGTGGGGACAGCTCGACAGTAGAAAAAGACTGTTCAGCAGTCTGCATAGGAAGGCATGAGTCAAAACCAATGACCCTTGGACCCACCCTCATGCCTGAAGCCGAGTCTCCAGCTTTGGAGAGACTAGTTCGACAACCCGGGGTGCTTCATGCCCCCGGTGGTCACAACAGCTGCAGGTGGTGATGCCCCCAGGTCTGGCCGGAAGGAAGAAAACAGATTCTTCAGCAGGCCGCTTGCAGCTACTCAGACTTGCATTGCTGTTCCAGGAAACAGCCCTGCTGAAACATGTCATTGCTGCAATGTTGGGCTCGCAGGCAAAGGCATTCTGCAAGTTTGCGCACACATATGATTCGTTCACAATGACCCAGTCTCCCATAACTCAAGAAACGCCAAGTCTTACTGTAACGACTAAAGGTTTTCTGCTTTGGAGAGAAAAGGCGAGCATTCTTTCTCTTAGAGACGACCTCCTTATGCCCATTTCAACTTCTCAAGCTGGTCAAACAAGCTCCAAGAAACCCATCCATGATTCCCAGCCTGCGACATGGACCTCGACGGCTCTGGCAACGATGGTGCTTGGTCAAAGTTACTTAGGCCCGTGTCACTTTGGGTATGTATGTATATAACGGTATAATATGATATAATATGTGTGCACCCGCTGATGATGTTAAAAGTTCTCTCTGAGGTGTGTTTTGGATAGACACCGCTTCTGCAACGATGCAGATGCAGCTTGGAATCATGAACGAACGTTTTTTGTTTTTGCATTGTTTGCGTGGCAGCTGCAGCTATCCCAGTCACACAGTCACTCTCACTTAGCATCATGTCAATGCACATCCAAATAAATAGATTAAATATATATATATAAATACAGTAAACTCTGAACTGCAACTGTTTAAATACTGAAATAAAAGTACTGTAATAAGGTAAACATGTATTTAATAGAGTAAACAGTGAATATCCAAATAAATACAGTAAATCTACTGCAACTGCTCCCAGGTCACAGAGCATGTTCGTGTCACACAGGAGGAGATTGCACGGTATGCTGCAGCTCGGCCTGGTGGTGTATGCTAGAGCGGGCCTCCAAAACCGAATAAGAGCTCTCAAGAAAACATTGAATACTAGCGGGGATGCAAACCACCTTGGAAACCCTTGCCACGTCCTTGATACTTCAGTTGGCTTGAGATGTTTATTCGTCAAACGCCCTCCAACTGCGTTCGGAGCCGATGGAGGCTGGCATCAGCAACCTCACCATGTTTAAACGACCTGGATCTGAGCCCTTCGAGAAGCAGCGGATCTCTGGATTGAACTCGCGGCGCATGGACCAAGTGGGCCTCAAGCGGTTTGAGCCGTGCCCTGCAGGCGCTCAGAATCAAGGTCACACGATATGATTACCTATATAATCTATAATCTATATAATCATTACAAGTCAGACTCATGTTGAAGGGGTGTCAGTTGAGGTCATCCAGGGGTCAGAATGAGGAGTAATCTATTGTAACCATTATTGATATTGCATGTCAGTACGGGTGTCCTTCAGGATGCCCTTCCTGCTTGATACAAAGCCCCATCGGGCGTGCCTCTCCAGGCTACACTTTCGTAGATGCTGACGTCGGTGGTGGAGCCTTTGCGCGTGTTTTCCTTGTGCGCAACGAAGCCACCCAAGACCTGCAAGCCATGAAACGACGCTCCTTTTGCAGTAGCGGGGGGTTTGCTATAGATTGTTTTCTGGATGAGGGTTACTTGTGACTTGTTGCTTTTGAACGCATGTTTTTGGAAGTCTTGCTCTCCCCTCCCTTTCTTTTCGTCTCTCTTCCCCTCATTTCCCCTCCCTTCTCCGTTGTCTCTTCCACATCCGCGTAGGATAGTCTGTTTGCATTTACTGCGAGTCGACTCTACAGCCACTTGTGTTGTGGGAGGAACGCCACCTTGAGGGTCTTCTCGTAGGCGCTTGACGTTGGGATCTTCCTTGCATCGGCTGAAGCGAGAATCCAAGGAGTTGATCGAGTGAAGCTCAGTAAGCATTTCCAGATCTCTGATGCAGAAGCCGAGCAGATGGTGGAGCAAGAGTTCTGGCAGATGCAGCGAACAAATCACCCTCATATCATCAAGCGCTTTGCCCGCAGCTGCTCACAAATGCTTAGGTGATGTATGGATATGTATGGAATGTTTTGACGTCCCAGTAGTTTCTAACCAAAGCACCCTGGCACGCCATGTGCATTCTGCTCAATGAAAAGATGCAGTTCATGCGTTGCTGCTAGATTTACACCGGTGAAAACTAACATTTTGAAAAAGAAAAAACATTTTTTTTTTGTCTATGTTAGTCTAGTTTCCGAGCGGACACCATTGAGACTAACCTAGACCAAATTCAGATGTCCCATGGTGGCCCCTACGGATGGTCCATGTTAGCCTCCACCGGGCTATGTTGACCTCTACCGGCGC